ATTCTACAAAAAAAGTGATTAAGTTGACAACAAAATACATAGAAATAAAGTCAAATTAACAAAATTTATGAAAAATATATATATTACCTTCATCTAACTGGAACCATCTAAGTTTGGAGAAGATTTCAACCAATTTTTTGTGCATATTAAGGCATCTACCATCTTAGGACTTAATAAACTACGAAAAAGATCAAAGATCCTTCCTCCAGTGCTAAAAGCACTTTCTGAAGCAACAATTGAAACTTGAATTGACAACACATCCTTAGCCAAATTGGACAAGACACCATACTTTTGTTGACTTTCCACCAATCGAGAATATCAAAGTCCTTGTTCTCTATGCTTTCACGAGCACCAAGTATCTTTCCACGTCATTTTTATTTCAGTACAATATTTTACTGCTTGTTTTTTTCATAAATTTAGAAAGTCAAGTATCACCCATAGAAGAAGAACTGCCTTTTATTAGTATTGAAAGAACTTAAAGATTCATCAATTGATACTTGACTGCTTCCAATAACACATTCACAAGCCACATACCACATAAATATCCATTATATTGATTTTCAAAGATTTTGTTGTGATACTAACAACTTCCCCATCCAAGTCACTAAAACAGTATTCAACATAATCCATTTTGTATCTTGGATCAATTATAGTAGCAATAAACAACAACTGATTCACATTTTCCATTTTACTCCAATACTTTTCGAACTTCTTCTTCATGTTAGTTGCCATTTCACTCAATAGAAAATTGCCACTTAATCTCCATTCCTTCAATTCTTTTGCAAGATTATAAATTTCATGAAGATAAGCCCAAACACTAATGCGCAACGAAGTACTAAAAGTCAAAGTGACATTGCAGAAATTTTTTAGGAACTTGACAAACACATCCATTTTCCCAATCTAAACTTGAAGGAGGTCCACCTTTCTTCTACCACCGTCATCTTTCCGAAAGTAATACAAATACTGAGCATCCTCTTCTTCTAACCCATCAAAAGCTTTCTCAAATTTTAATGATGTTTCCAATATCAAATAGGTAGCATTCCACATAGTTGGAACATCCAAAAACACAATAGACTTGTAACCAAATCTATCAACATATTCCATCAAAAGTACAAACATACCAAATAGAAATATTTAATTAAAAGTATTAATGCAATACAAGAAAAGTAATAATACTGCACCGGTGGCTGTGTCCATTTTAGCGCATGCAATATTCTAATTTCTAAAGATCAAATAGCAACAATATATGTAATATGCTTTCACAGCTTCAGCAATATGAGTTTCATCATGAATCAAAAAATCAAAACCAATGAACAAAATCATGCTATAGATATTGATAACGGTAACCAAGTTTGAGTGAATGCTTTATATCCCATGAATTCTGCTTGGTTTTAACTACTTTTTATATCTGTCTACTTGATGATAACAATTAGTTAGCACTAAAAACCATGGGAAAGACACAACAGGTAATTATGGCACCATTTTGAGCATTTGCATCTGTAAAAGTATCTATGCAGAGGAATGTAATTAGCGGATTATACTTAAGGTATTATTTAAATCTTTCTTATATATGGAATTATCAATCTAAATCTAGCATATGTATCATGTTCAGCCATTCTTGATCTGTGCAGCATCATAGATGTAATAATTCGTTTTTTTTTTGTCTTTTTTATTTTTTGGATATAATATATGATCATCTTCAGTTGTGTAGTTAATAAAATGTAATTTCCTCCAGCCATCAGATTAAATTCATATTCTACCAAAAATTCCTAAAACACTAAATAGATATGCAAGACATTTGCTCTCTATGTTAGTGAGTGAGAAGAGGTTACAGGCGCACTATGTTCTTACATAATAAGTGTAATGCAACATATTTCTCTCTTTTTTATTTATTTTATCAAATGTAGACCTAGAAATGAATGGTACAGAACCTGAACAAACAAGATCCATGATCATGAATATCTATAGAGGTAATTAAAAACAAGAAGAAAACACATTGGTTGATAATTTTATTCGATTATTATGAAAATCAAACACATAGAATTGAATATCTTCATTCTTTAGCCACGAGAAAAACGAAAAAAAGAAGAAGAAGAAGAAGAAGAAGAAGAAGAAGAAGAAGAAGGAAGAGATGAAAACAATTAGTAAAGAAAATCGAAAATAAACTTTCACTGCATACAATAGATCAATGGTGGCAAGTTAAAAGCTAGAATGGAATATCGGCGTTTCCGTGTTGGCAAGTTAAAAGGAAGAATGGAAGATTGACAGTGGCGGGCTGACAGTGATTTGATGTCCGATTTGGGAGACATCGAGAGCAACAGATAAATGAAAAATTGAGAATTAGGTTTGTTCCAAATTATTTGGTACTTATAATGTATAATTGAATTTACCCGGTTAGCTTAGCCACGAACCGAACCCATAAAAAAAACTGCAAAAAACTGACCCAACCCGGCCAGGTCAGTTCTATTCGGTCGGGTTTCGCCCACCCTTAACCATAAGATTAACCTTCTCTAGCTATGAATTTTACAAATTTTCAAAGAATAATCAGACAACGCTTGCATGGAGAGCACATTCCTGATATATGGAAGGCTTTTGTCTTTGCATAAACATCTTCATCTGCTCATTATATTAAATAAACATGTAATGAGTATTGCTGCCATTTGTGAACTGCTAATTGATTGATTTTGGAAGAAGTGCTGAAAAGATTCGAGTAGGAACTATTTATAGTTATATGTAATCCTGTTTTACTGTCCGAAGACACAGTTACATATCATGTTGATTTTGGCTCGGTGGTAGAAATCGGTATATATAACTGGAATTGTTTTGGGGTGGGAAATTTTAATGATTGAAGAAGGGTAGCGTCTAACACAATATAATATATTATTATTAGTAAGATTTA